TTCTTGGGTTTCCAAGGCAGTATCTCTACGGAAGTAGATTCCCCAGTCTTCCTTCTGATGAGTGGCTGGTGGGTTTGAACCTCTAGCCTTCTGGTTAGCAGTCAAATGCCTTAGGTACTACGCCACCAGGGCAAAATTTCAAAGGAGACACCACACTGCCCAGTCTGGATGGAATGGCTCTACTAGAGAAGCCAGGAATCACCCAAGTCCCTGACTTCCAGCAGTTTCTAGAGGATTAGGGACACCACTGCCATGTTCCTGATGAATAAGACCAAGAGCTCTTAGTCTGGATAACCAGCTCTCAGGCTTTGGTTCTGGGCAATCCAAACAGGGATTTGACTGCTGAAAAATGTCACTAAAACTGTACCAAATGTGCTTCTCACCTCTTTATGAGTGCTAAGGAGCCTGGAAGGAAACAGCTTTATTTGGGTCTAGACAGAGCACCATCCACAAGGTCTGGAGTCTGATAAGCCCCAAGGGAAGCTGTGGAGAAGATAATAATACTGTGTGCTTAGCCAACAGTTTTTCCCAAAGTGTTTCTACTGCTGCCACAGTAGCTCCCTCCTGAGACAAGACCTGTATACTGTTCCCAGAGATCCAAAGTCCATTGTCTCCATGCTACAGAGCCAGAGAGGAAAGCTCAACCTGAAATAGCTGCAAAGTCATATCATGAAGCTAGTTTGAGACAGGGACCTCAGCTTGGCCTTGGCCTAGGAACATTCTAGGCAGGGAGACAGAAATGAAAGGTGCATGTGGAGAGTTTTGTACTACTACAGCTGGAGGTAGAGCCCCAGTGGAATCTTCTGTTGCTAAGTAAATAACCCAGGAGGTACTGGGACCTCTGGGACAGGTTTCAAACCCTGGCTGTGCCTCTTCCTAGTGAAGTGACTTTATGCAAGAAAAAAGGAACTGGGAAATAATTTATCAGGTGCCTAGATGTGCCAGGCACTGTGCTTAATGTTGGAGTCTAGCTGTTTGACTCCAAAGCATGTATTCTCCCTCTGTAAGCATCAGTTCTGCACTCAGAGCCAGGAGACTTAGGTTTGAGACAAAGCTATTTGAACCTGGGAAGTTAATTTCCATTTGCTGGACCTCAATTCCTCTTCAGGCAAATGGAATAATTTCTCTACTGCTGACCCCATACAGAGCTATTGTGAGATTAAAATGAAATATAATGGTTACAGAATGCTTGATACTATTCAGGATATATGGCAAATAGGTAGTTTTCAGACCCATCTAATCTTTGGGACCATGTGAGGGAGTTTATTGAAAATACAGATTCCTGAGGGTCTTATTCAGTGACTCTAAGAATGTCTGTCTTAAAAACACCCCAGTGGTACTAATGCTCAGACAGGTTTATGAACCAGTGCTCCAGTTCGTGTTTACAAATGTAAGGGACAAATATCATTTCTCTGGACCTCAGGGATGCCAATATTTCACTTCCTCTTTCTTGCCCCAGCTAAGACTTGGCCAGCCAAGTCAGGTCTCTCCCTCTGAGGTTTTCCATTCCATTCCTTTGCTGACATAACTCAGCTGCCTCTCAGCACCTCCCCAACAAGATTCTTTAAACAACCAAAGACCTAGAGTAGGGGGAGAAGGGTAGGAAAAGAAGGGTCTGATTCAATGCATAAATTACCTTAGTTATCCAAACTGGGCAAGCAGGCTTGGAGGCTGTCCAAGCCACAAGGTAGAGAACCATCCAGAGTTTGAATAAGCAAATGAAGTATCCAGATGACATCTGACCCTTCTGCCTTTGGCTAGTAAAAATGTGTGCTGATGGAATCCCAAGGGACACATCTTGTATTTATTTTACTGACTTAGCATGTGGTTTCTTAACCTTGCTGGGTACTTTGGGGGGTAAAGAAAGACTGGGACAACTTTTTATGTTTGAAATTTTTAAAGACATCTAGTGTAAAAGGAGCGCCATGACATGGATGATTACTAACAAGAGATCATTGAAAAGTCATTTCCACTGGCTTTTGGGTGAATGGCATGCAGGTATCCCCTCCTCTGTTAGATTTACCTTCCAAGCTTGACTTGGCTTCAAATAACAGTACTGGTTTACAACCTATGAGAACGGTTGGCTGGGATGTTGGAATGAGGGGAACTCAACCTTGGAGCAATCTCATAGCTGAAAACTCAGGCTTGAGGGCTTATGGATGTCAGCACTGAGCCAGACACATTGTGTAAATGAGAAGACTGAGGCCCAGAGAAGGGACATGACTTGCTGATTCCCAAACAGATTTCTCTCCTCTGCTGTCCATGTTGCCTCTGTATTCTGCATATGAGTTGTTTCTGTGTATTCACCTTCTTGTTAGTAACTATATTGAACCCCTGTGATACTCTTCCTGTGGAGTGTACAGGAAGAGATGTGGCATAACCAAAAAAGCATCCTGCAGCCAGGACCTGGCACAGAATAGGTGCTCACTGCTTTCTGGTCTGTGTTCTAGGTCTATGGCTGCTAACCAATTGTGTGACTTTGGGAAGTCACTTGGGTCTCTGAATATCAGTTCCTTCTCTATATATCAGGAAATTGGCTTTTAAGAGCCCTTCCAGTCTCAGGCTTCTGAATGTCAGACTCAGTTTTAAACTTCAACCAGCCTGTGTGACTGGGAAGGCCAAGAGTTCTCCTAGGAACAAATCTCACAGGCTGGGAGGCTCTCACAGAATACCAGAAAGGGGCTGCCAAGGCAAGAGCCACCCTCTCGCTTGACTAAGGTCACAGCAGCAGAGGTGAACCAAGAATAGAAACCAGGCCTCCGCCTCCTCACACACTGTCCCACCCACCAGAGGGGCCAGAATAAGAGGCCCCGGCACGAGGTGGGTGTGGGGAGAGCCTGACTCCAGTTCCCCTAGAATTGCTTATTTATAGGAGATACTCCTCCAACTCTGGGCCAGGGACAGTCCAGGAGAGAAAAAAGAGAGCTGGAGGCACCGCCAAAGGGGGTTTAATCAGTTGAATCAAGTCAGGTTTACAAACACTCATAGAGGCTGTGCCTCTCCATGTCTGCCCACTAGGGCTGTGACACTTTTTCTCTGTCTGTTGCTATAGGGTTGCTATGAGTTGGAATTGACTCGACAGCAACAGATTTGGTTTGGTTTGGTTTGTAGGTAGACAGTTATTGGTTCTAAGTATCCTCCAAACACAGGTTTCTCCTCACCCCAAACTCTAGACTCCCCTGAGAGCTGAAGGCCAACCTTCTCTCGGTACTGCAACAAAAGCTAGGAATTTAGGGACCTTTCTTGCCTATCTATTTAGTTTCTTTTCTGAACTCTACCTGCTCTAAGTCTTTACAGCTCAGACCGTATGATTCCAGCATTTGCCATTGGAAAGGAAAGAAAATGGTTTTGAGCCTAAAAGAAAGACAGCACTAGATGGCTCTTGAGGCTATTAGGTGGTTCAGTCTTTATTTTCAGATGAGGAAAGGGATGAGACGAGCTGAGACCCAGGCCAGTGACAGAAGGCAGCCCTCCAAGCACTCATCCCTCTACACCTCACTCGTTGCCTTTCTTGCTTCCTCCAAACAAGCCTAGGGAAACCAACCTCTAGTACATCCAATTCCTTCCTCACAAATTCTAAGTACTCAGCCACCAAGCATAGGTTTCCAGGAATGATGCCCCCAGGGAGGAAGGGCAAGAGAGGAGGGCCCATTAATCCTTCTTGGATGCCTGTGGCTAAGCCTCCTTCCCCTGGTGTAGTGAATCCCTCAACATAAAGTCCAAGGACTTCCTTGCCTCACTGTTAAAACAGAATGATGATGGGCATGGGGTGTTAGAAAAAAAAAGTGTTTTCTTAGCCGCTTTGGCTACTGTGAAAACAAACTGCAAAGACTGCCTACTGGGGGAAAAAAATGAGGCAGGCTGACAATGTGGGGCAAAGGGAAACTCTCCTTCCAGGAAAGTCTGTGTTGGGAGCCTTGGAAAAAGGAAGGAATTGATGAAATGTGCCAACAGCTGATGTTGAGGCTCATAGGAGATACCTTTAGGAGTCAGGTGATGCGGAGACTATGAGAATATTTTTCTATTTAATAAATATGTTAGTATCCACTGTGTGGGAGCTCTGCTAGCACAGTACCTAAGGCATTTGACTGCCAAACAGAAGGCTGGCAGTTCAAACCCACCAGCCACTCCCTGGAAGGAAAGTTGGGCAATCTACTTCCGTAGTGATACTGTTTCAGAAGCCCAAGGAAGGGTCGCTATAGGTTGGATCCGACTCCATGGCAATGGTTGCTTATCCACTGTGTGCCAGGCACTAATAAAAAGTCAATCTCCACTTTGTGCATGGAGCTTAGTGTGATAAATGCTGGGATGCAGGTTTGTGAAGAAGAGAGGCTGAGGGTGGGAGTGGGCAGGGAAAGCATCTGAGACAATTGAATCTGAAGAATGAGTAGGTGATGATCAAGTAAAACATGGTTCTTAACACTGGCTGCACATTCGAGTCACTGGAGGAACATTGGGAGTTTCTGTGTGAACAGGTAACCTGCTCAGCTGCTAACCAAAGAGTTGGAGGTTCAAGTCCACTCAGAGGCACCCCAGAAGAAAGGTCTGGCTATCTACTTTTCGAAAATTAGCTTATGGAGCCCAGCTCTGCTCTATCTCATATGAATCAGAATTGACTCGACAGCTGGTTTTGGGGGAGATTTTAAAACTCCCAAGCCCACACCCTTGACCAGTCAGAGTCTCTAGAGTTGGAACCCAGACATCAGTATTAGAGATTCTAACGTATAGCTAAGGTGAGAGACCGCTGGCTTACAGGATAATCGGGGACTGAGGTTTGCAGGGGAATGAAATGGTTACATAAGTGTTGGTTATTTTTTGTGTTGAGTTTTCTTCTTCACTCTTTCTAGGGAAGCTATGAGACTAGCCTTCTGGATTTGGGTCCAGGGTAGGAGCAGGAAGGAGGGAAGAGGGAAGGGAAGAAGGGTAGAGGAGGAATGTGGGGCTGTAGCATCTAAGCCCTCAGTGACATTGTCACTGAATGCCACCTCCCTTACTGCCAGGACCTCCTGCAGAATTCTCCCAATTCCATGTCTGGAGTCTCCAATAACCCCCAGGGGATTGTGGTCCCAGCCTCAGCGCTCCAGCAAGGCAACATCGCCATGACAACTGTCAACTCACAAGTTGTGTCAGGTCGGTGCAGGGAACAAGGTGCTGGGGAATGTGGGCCACACCCTGGGAGGAGAAAGGGTGACCCCAAGGGAGTTGGGGGGGGCAAGGTACTGCACAGAGCATTATGGGGAACTGGAGGGGTGCCTTCTGCTAAGGGAGGGCCTCATAGTTTAGTTTCTGGATTATGGTGTTCTGTATATTTATAGATGGTTAGCACTAAGACCTCCTTGTAATGAGCGTAATGGTTTGGGACCAATTTGGGTCAAATTCTCACGAAGCCCAAAGACCAAGGAAGGCTTTTGTCCCTTCCTTGAACACTTCATTGGCTAGAGGGCCTCCCCCATCCCACCAGTGACTGTGCTCTCAGCTCTAGTCAAACCCCGCCCCCACTTTTGCCCTGGATTTTCTTCCTACCCACCCCCACCAGAGGCTGAATACCTACAGTTTACAAGCAGGAGAAACTCACTTCCCTACCCAAGACTGCAGAGTTGAGGGTCTTTTTCATGTGAGTTCAAGCGAATTGGGAACCCTACTTGCCCTCATTCTTACCTCCTGCATGAGAGGGGACCCAAAAACTGGTTGTCTCCTCAGGTGGAGCCTTATACCAGCCGGTTACCATGGTAACCTCCCAGGGTCAGGTGGTCACCCAAGCAATCCCCCAGGGAGCCATCCAGATCCAGAACACACAGGTGAGTGTACAGGTGTGCGCACATGTCCATGGCATTGGGGAGAAGAGTCATGATTGCTTACCATCAGTTAGGCACTTGTACACACTAACTCATTGACTCCTCATTGTGCTGCTAAGAGGTGTCATTACTCCCACTTTACAGATAAGGAGTTGGGTCTAGAGAAGGTTTTTATCAATTCCTGCAATTGTGCTACTTCCTGGGGCTACATCAAAGGATCCTAGGCACTTCCTATTTCTGGTCTCCAGACCTAGCCACCATATTCCTCAATGTGCATTTGTGTAGAGTGCACACACAATGGGAAATATGGTATGGTGAAAAGGTCTGAAGTCTGAGGCCTGAGATCTGGCATTAGCTCTGTGATTTTAGATAAATCATCTAACCTCTCTGAGCCTGCATTATTATTGATAGAAGGGGAAACAATACCAATGGCACACAGCCCTACCAACCCACAGACTGGATAGGAAAGTGCTTTGCAAACTATAAAGTATCACAGAGATGTTAGTAACTATTAGGTGGTGAATTCACATCTCCTATGCCCTCTGCATGACTCTTTCATCCATTTCCTCTCTTATTCCCTTCTCCCCCCAACGCCTCCTTTCCTCTACCCTATCTCTCCTTCTCCTTCTTCCTTTCTCCCTCAACTCCAAGCCTCATCTCTGTTCTCTGAAAGGCTGGTATGGGGTGAGAGGGAAAGGTGTCCTCCCCAAGGCCCTTAGAATGAGTTGGGAGAGGGGGTTGGCAGCACAAGCCTGCCGTCACTATGGCAACAGGTCCCTCGATGCTGCCCTGCCAGGCTGCTGATGGTGCTTTTTTCTCCACGTGCCCTGAAGGTTAACCTTGACCTCACCTCCCTCCTGGACAATGAGGATAAGAAGTCCAAGAACAAACGAGGAGTCTTGCCCAAGCATGCCACCAATATAATGCGTTCTTGGCTCTTCCAACATCTCATGGTGAGTGAGTGTGTGTGTGTGTGTGTGTGTGTGTGTTTTGGGGATATGGAGTTGCAGTGTGGGGTGAATAACCCCTTGGGTACCAGACTATGTGATCATCTCCAAACTAGAGAGGGTGTGGCCTCAGAACGCCAGAAGTAGTAGGGCACCTTCTAGAGGCCAAGTCAAAGGGGTGGCTTAAGGAGGGCTAAAGCTGGAATACCTTCTCTAATGCTTGCTTTGTTAATGTTGCTGCTGCTGCTGCTGTTGCTGCACCTCAAAAAGGTGTTATATCAAATGAGGTAATGGGGACAAAAATATTTTTCAGAGTTAAATACTGGGCAAGTGCACCATATTGTTTCACTAACAGAGTGAAATCCCATGAGGGCGGGGGTTATGGTTTCTGGTACAGACCCTCTTCCCGCAGGCAGCCACTCTCATCTCCTCCTTTTCAGGTGAAAGAAAATGTTGGTTCTGTGCCAGGGCTTTTGTTCTGTTTTTCCAGAGTCCTCCCTTCTCAGTTTTGGCTGGGGAAGCAAGGTGGTGTGTCCACCTTCCTTGAATCAGAGCAGCCAAGTGAGGTGTGGTGTTGTAAAGTGCTGGCTGAGAGCATGGACTCTGGGGAAGGACAGGCCTAACTGAAATCCTAACTCCCTCACTTAGTCAGCTCTGTGACATAGAACAATAGAACTTGCTATACTTGGGAGCTCTGGTAATGTAGTGCCTAAAGCACTTGACTGCTAACCAGAAGGCTGGCGGTTCAATCCCACCAGCCACTCCTTGGAAGGAGGATTGGGCAATCTACTTCTATAGTGATACCATCTTGGAAACCCAAGGAGGGGTCACTGTGAGTCGAGTCCGACTCCACGGCACATAACAACAACAACATACTTATAAAATGGTGACAATACCTCATATTCATGTGTAATTTATAAAGTGCCTACTGTGCACCTAATGAATGATGGGAGTTATATGTTTGTGTGCAGGGTCAGTTGCAACAGATAAAATCTTTGGTTGGATGTCAGGAATGACTTCAAAGCTGTAATCCTCTAGTACTAGTTTCAAGAGAAGCAGCAATAAAGAAAGAAAGGTCAATGACTCTATGTCTAGGCTGATAGGTGTATGTGTGCATGTGCATGTGTGTGCGCACATGTGTGTGTGTGTGTGTGTGTGTTTTGGGGTTAGGGGATGGATTCTGTAACCATAGGTGAGCTTTCAGCAGTCTGCATGCTCTTGGCTTGGTCCACTGCTATTTTCATAGGATACACAGATACAAAAGAAATACCAAGTATTACAGTTTAGGAGCCCTTGTGTGGTGCAAACACTTGGCTGTAACTGAAAGGTTGGCAGTTTGAACCATCTAGAGGCACTTCAGAAGAAAGGTCTAGCAATCTGCTTCCAAAAGGTTACAGTTGCTGAAAAACCTTATGGAGCACAGTTCTGCTCTGTAACACAGGGGTTGCCATTAGTCTGAGTCGACCCAAAGGCAATGGGTTTGTTTTTCTTTGGTTTATAGACATAATGATGGCCTGAGAGCTCTGGAGAAGAACCAGGAGTAAGGAGAAGTCTTTTTTCAGAGATAAATCAAATGGATCATGAGAAAAGTAATTAATCAGTCAATCAACAACCTTGTATTTGAACTAGGAACATCTCTGGAAGCCATTGAGACTGGGCCAGGGCTCTCAGATTTAAGTGGTGACGGCAGACTGACTATGGCCTCAGAGACTCTGCATTTCCCCCAACTCATCCACCCACTTAATTCCAGGGACTGAGGACCACCCTCAGCATTTTGCTGAGTGAGCATATTTTGAAAATGGGAACAAACAATAACCAAATTTAGGCTGAAGACTGAGGGTTCAGGAAAGAAGAAGAAAGTGGAGAGACCCTACAGTCTAGATAATGAAGCCAGGGAATGAGGGGATAAGTCCTGCCTCAAGCCTCTTGGGGGCAGTCCTGATGGAGCACATGGCACAGATGCCCAGGTCTGCTATCTGGTTTTGCAAATTGTCAGTGCATCAGTGGGGCTCTAATGGATTGGTGGCCCATGGGCCCAGCATCCGCCCAATAGCTCCCAGTGCTATGTGAGTGAAAGATCTATGAGAAAAGGGGCTCTCTAGGAATCCATCCAGTAAGGTAGTGCCTAAGGCATTTGACTGCTAATCAGAAGGCTGGCAGTTCAAACCCACCAGCCACTCCTTGGAAGGAAGATGGGGCAATCTACTTCTGTAGTGATACTGCCTTGGAAACCCAAGGAGGGGTCACTGTGAGTCAGACCTGACTATATGGCAGTGAGGTGTTTTTTGTTTTTGTTTTTTTTTTTTTTTTTTTTAGTAATAGATCCATCTTCTGTGCACACACCTGTCACACCCAAGGTTGGGACAGTATGGTCCTCTCCTCTTCATCCCCCCCATGGATCTAGATCTGGCTCCACTCATTGTTAAGCAGTTATGTATAAGTATAGGGTCGTGGATGTGGTAGAAAGCTCACAAGCTTTTGAGGTAGCCAAATCTGAGTTCAAATCTAAGCTTTACCTTTTACTCTGTAAGATGACCATACTTACATAATTTCATGTGAAGATTATGATGAGTAAATGAAATCTTTGCGAAGACCTTGGCAGACTGAAGGTGCTTAATAAATGATAGTTCCCTCTCCTCCACAACTCCTACCTCAGTGCATTTTTGAAGCCTAACGTGAGCACTCCAACAACTTCTGAAGAGGAGAAAAGGCAAGAAATGAGACTGTAAGACAAATTCCCCTCCCAGCACCTCCTCACTGACTCCATCACTGCATCCTTAGCTACCTTCCACTCCCCACCAGAAGCTGACCCCGGAAACTGGAGGGTTCCCCAGCTCAGTCCCTCCTGGCTGTGCCTCTCCTTTTACCTTGTACCTAATTCACCCTCTTCCTTGTGAGACTCCCTCTGAAGCTCAGAATTTTTCTTTGCACTCCACTGCCACTCCCACCCCAGGCTTAAGAAGGCAAAGGAATGTGGAGGTGGAGGAGAGAGAGGAGGCACTAGCTGGAACACAAAGCAGAAGGCAAGGAAGGACCCCGAACGCCTCTCAGAAAAGGACCTGGGACCGTGCAGAGGACTTTGTTGAAAAAGCATCAGTAAGAGCTTTCTTCCAACACCCTCCTACCCACGCATTACTACTCTTGCTATTTCAGGACAGCACTCAGGTGCACTTAACCTTGGCAAAGATCTCCCCTAATTAATACCTTCACTGCAGTGTCCATTGGGAGATAAGAAGGGAGTGGCCACTGAGCCTATAAAGTCAGGTCTCAGAACTTCTGGACCAAGGACAAAAAACAGAAAGGCGAGAAGCCCAGGCTAGTCTGGGAAACAGGCAGAGCACAGCTGTCCTCTGCAGATCAAGGCTGGGCCACACAGCCAGGGGCTCTTAACAGATCAACCTAGTTATCCATATACATGGGCATACAAGGTTCAGGAGAGAGGCTCTGGGTAACAGGCAACAGTGGAAAGAAAAGAGACTTTGAAACCAGATAGACACTTGAGGCTTTCCCACTAACAGTATGATCACTCTGATCTTATTTCTTTGAAAAAAAGAAGATAATACCAATTTCCTATGATTGTGAAAATTAAATGGGATAGTATATACAAAGAGACAAACCTGACACATAGTCAGAACTTAAGAAATGTGAGTTTTTTTTTAACATTCTAAAACAGAACAAGTTTTTGAGACAGAGGCCCAAAATCTGTGAAAATTAATTAGAGATGGATGAGGATGAATGAGTACAGTTTTTCTGATCTGTAACATCTACTGAGTTTACCTACTGATTTTGACCCTAAGACTATGGGAACTAATACTATTAATTACCTGTTCTGTATGAGTATACGTGTACAAAATCTGTATGTCTTACATCTCTGACTCAGCTGTACATTTCTCAAGGAGAGGGAGCATATATTATATTATACCTCTTTTGTCACCCCTACAGCATTGATTCCCAAAGTATGTTCCTTTACAGGATATTAATAGATGTTCCTCCCCAAAAAGGGTTCCATGGTAAAATAAGTTTGGGAAAATCTGGATTATACAATGGTTAGTGTATTTTGTTATTCTTGGTGTACTAGGGGACATCATGAATTTGCAAGAGAGGGTATACCAAAAAAGCCAAACTCACTGTCATTGAGGCGATTCCAACTCATAGTAACCCCCATTGGATTTCCAAGGCTGTAAATCTTTACAGAAGTAGATCATCCCATATTCCTTCTGCAGAGAGGCTGGTGGGTTTGAACTGCTGGCCTGGTTAGCAGCCAAAGCCTTATCCACTACGCCACCAGAGCTCCTTAAGAGAGGGTATGGTTTGAAGTTTTTCCCAAACTTATTTGATTACTCTAACTACTATTGTTTTTCTTGTTGGTCTGAGGAATGACCAGACAATATATGTTGCTGTGGCTGTTATTAGCTGTTGAGGAGTTGGCCCCCAACTCGTGCACAATGGGATCAGACTGTTATGATCCACAGGATTTTCATTGGCTGATTTTCAGAAGTAGATCACCAGGCCTTTCTTCCTACTCAGTCTTAGTCTGGAAGCACTGTTGAAACCTGCTCAGCAGCACAACAGTATACAAGCGTCCACTGACAGAGAGGTAGTAGCTGTGGAAGAGGTGCACTGGTTGGAAATCAAATCCAGTCTCCTGTATGGAGGGCCAGCAGCTCTGTGGTAACACCACAGTAGGTATGGGAAAAAAGAGTAAGAAAGGACAGATCTCAGTATACAGTAGAGGTTCTATCTGATGCAGATGAGTCAACTAATTTGTTGGTTTGTTAATTGGAAAAGCTAGTTGAAGAAAAGAGCCAATCATTAAAAAGATATACTGTTTTAAAGATATACCTATATTCATTGACTGATCTTTCAAAATAGGGCCAAGGTCGTCTTCTAATTAAAGTTTGTCATTTTGCTCACAAAAACCTCACCTGTAACATCTATACATTCCATCTTTATTTTATTTGAAATGGAATAATAACTTTGATGCTTGGGAAGCAACCTGTCTGTAG